ACTTGAATTATGGAAATTAGGTAATATTATCATTATTACCCAATATAGGTGTCAAACAAACGAGATTCAAGAAGGTGTTTGTTTAAAAAATCTTAAAGAGGGTTAATAAAGAGGAACAATTTTAAATCTCTCTTGTTTTTGACTTCGTGTAAATATCTAGAGTTTTATTGAAATAAATACCGTAATACACAGAAGTTTCATACACTCAGCAAAGCTGGTGAGGGCAAACAAGTATTGTATATAATAAGTCATTTTAATGATGAGTTTAAATTTGTGCTATGCACGTCAATAATTATCATAAATTTTCTTAACTCCAATTATTTCGATAAAAATCTTAATTAGCCGACGTGCTTCATCGGCGACTGTGATGTCATTAACGTCCCACGTTTTACTTTCACGCTAGATATGTATGTACATAAATATCTCGTTGCAAAAATATATATGCTAATTAAATAAGAAAACTGTTAAGTCATGTTATAAATTAGTTAAACTAATTCAAACGGTTACAGTACTTCGAGCATATAAACACCGTCAGAAAAGCATCCGATGCGATACTTATAAACGGATCTATGTGCATTACGGGGGATGTAGTGGTGTATGGAGGGGTTTCTTCCTTGGTAACGTGAGTAACCCATGTGCGAGATAGAGTAATGGACCCATGGGGGCCTTGAGCCACGGCAGAAGGAAAGGAAGCCTTGGCGATTCCACTACGACGTTTTCGTATTCTGCAGTATTTGTCCACTACGAGTCAGGGACGGTAATCAGTATGAGTAAAATAATTTAATTCAGCGTTTAATCATTATTTTAATCATTTTTTGCCCAACAGAAATTGTAATTTTATTTTTATTATTCGGTAAAAAATAATTTTGTTTATTTAATTTTTTCGCTCAATGATAATGATTGCTATTGGAGTTTTTTCACTTTAAGACAATCTATATACCCTTGTGGTCTGCTGATTAAGTCAAGTGACATATTTACTAGTTATTTACTTTACGAAAATTCAACAAACTTTGACATTTGCACCCACAAATTTTAAACTTTTTATTCAGAATTTTGGGTATGCAGTTAGGTTAGTACGTTTAAGTGGAAATTTCAAGACGCTAGAAAATCGCGTTGATTTTTAATAATTTTTTTGGCTGACGGTGTTGTGCATTTTCTTCCATATAAAATATGCTCGAGAATTTCGTTTGTATGGGAGAAAATGCCTGGCACCATCAGGACAGAAATTATTAGAAATCAACATTATTTTCTTACGTCTTGAAATCTGAACTTTATACCATGTTCCCACCGGAGCTAACCACGTAGTTATGGCTATTGAGTTGTATATGCCGATTACCCACTTGAAAGTCTGATACAACCCTGTGTTTTCCCGCCATCTGTGGGTCATTAGCGTTAAAATGTAAAGAATTCGTTCCCTACTATAGTTTGGACTCAGCTAAAATCAGATTAGATTTACTCCGGTTTTTAAAAATATTTGAAATCAAGTCCTCTACTCCGCTTGACTTCAAATCTATTCCGTTTTTTAATTCATGTTATGCCCCTCTTGGGGCCGTGTTTTGAGTGTTCACCACTGGTTTCAGTAAACAAATTCAAAGTTAGCCAAATCTCACTGTTAAAAAGTAACTCTTTCATAGCAAAGCGTCAATAAAGTAACTTCGCTATTTTTTGATGTATGGCTGTACAAATTGGCGGATGCAGAACTTTACTTAAGTTGGTAAAAAATATATGTAGAATAAAATTTATATAAAGTAGAAAAGGTTTGCTTTTTTAAAAATTAAGTGTTAGATACGTTCTACTATATAGAAAATGCTAAAAATTACCTAAATATGTAACATATCCTTACATTGCCTCGCGTACTTATTTTGCATGAATAGAAAATATTTTAGTCAAACAATTAATGTCAGAAACAAAAATTCAATCTAGTACGGAAAATTTGTTTTTGCTCCGATTTTTGCAGCAATTTAGTCCTGAATCGATTTTTGGAAGTCCGAACACTGTTTACATTTGTACTGTGTTATAAACCTCAAACCGCAGTGTGGACAGCAATAGTTAGTGAAGTGGTTAAGTTCGATTTGAGATGGTTAACTTTTTGGTGGGGACATGGTATTAGGGCCATTTTTTGAGTGTTCACCACCGGTTTCAGTAAAAATATTGAAAGTAAGCCAAATCACACTGTTAAAAAGTAACTCTTTCATGGTAATGCGTCAATAAAGTAACTTCGTTATTTTTTGATGTATGGCTGTAGAAATTGGCGGATGCAGAACTATATTTAAGTTGTTAAAAAATATATGTAGAATAAAATTTATTTAAAGTAGAAAAGGTTTAGATCCTATTGCTCTTTAAAAAATTAAGTGTTAGAAACGTTCTACTTTATAGAAAATGCTAAATATTACCTAAATATGTAACATATTATCCTTACATTGCCTCGCGTTCTTATTTTTGCATGAATAGAAAATATTTTAGTCAAACAATTAATGTCACAAACGAAAATAAAAAATTCAATCTAGTAAGCAAAATTTGTTTTTGCCCAGATTTTTAGTCCTGAATCGAGTTTTGGAGCTCCGAACACTGTTCTCTACATTTGTACTGCGTTAAACCTCAAACCGCAGTGTGGACAGCAATAGTTAGTGATGTGGTTAAGTTCGATTTGAGATGGTTAACTTTTTGGTGGGGACATGTTATAAAGATGTCTCAAAATGTAGACGTCTACATTTTCAGACACAATTTGGAACGAACTGTGAACACCCCAATTGAATGGTATAATTCGCTCAGTATGGAGTTCGAGGTCAAGCGTATTCAACTTTTGATATATCGATATTTTTAAAAATCGATTAAGTGAAGTTGAAAGGGGTAGTTGGCATTTCCAGAATTAGTTGTCAAAGTGACAATTATTTCGCTCATCGCATTGTGGAGCAGAAGGCTGTGAACATTTCGTATTTAACTTTCAAAAGTAAGCGTGTTTGTTTAAAATGGATGATGAGGCGGAAACTTACAAGCTTTGGCGTATCCGCAAAACTATAATGCAACTGAGCCATGATCGTGGATATCTCGTAACACAAGATGAATTGGATCAAACCTTGGAGCAATTTAAGGAAATGTTTGGTGACAAACCAAGCGAAAAACGACCAGCACGTTCGGATCTCATTGTTTTGGTAGCACACAACGATGATCCGACGGATCAAATGTTTGTTTTCTTTCCGGATGAACCAAAAATTGGTATAAAAACTATCAAAACCTATTGTACAAGAATGCAAGAAGAGAACATCCATCGCGCGATTGTGGTAGTTCAAGCGGGTATGACACCATCAGCCAAACAATCTTTAGTTGACATGGCACCCAAGTACATACTGGAGCAATTCCTTGAATCGGAGCTATTGATCAACATAACCGAACACGAGTTGGTGCCTGAGCACGTAGTTATGACCCCGGAGGAAAAACAAGAATTGTTGGCACGTTATAAACTAAAAGAAAATATGTTAATGCGTATACAAGCAGGTGACCCGGTGGCGCGTTACTTTGGTTTAAAACGTGGCCAAGTAGTTAAAATTATACGTTCCTCAGAAACGGCTGGACGTTATATATCCTACCGACTTGTTTGCTAAGT